AGTACTAATATTTATATAGGTGCCTACTACTTTTACTAGTATATATAGTAAATATATAATAGTTATAGGCCTACTTTACTTTATACTAAATTACTTCTTCTTTATCTATAGGTCCTAGGTTTAACTCCCTATAATATTATTAGCTATAGGCTACTCCTTAAAAATAAAGGTAGAAGTAGAACTAATAGAACTTATTTTTACCTTTATAGAAGCTAGCTACTTAGAAACCCTACTCTTCTATAGAGCTAGGGGGATATATAAGACTTAGGGTAAGATAGAGCACTAGTATTTATATAGGTGCCTACCACTTTTGCTAGCGTATATAGTAAATATATGATAGGATTGTCCCTCGTGGTGCTCTATTCACGCGAGCGGCAACGGCGTACCAATATCTAAAAAGGTCGGTAGTTTTCTAAAGCTAGTGTCTTTGCCTCTAGTCCATATTCAATCCCCTTGATTTTGAGTTTTTCTACCGTTGGCGTGGATTTTCGCGTGGTCGGGCTCGTCAAAGTACGCAAGACAGGCCACAATTTATAGAGTATCAATATAGTTATATAAGATAGTAGTATAGCTAATATAGCTTATAGAGAAATAATAGAAAGTAAAGATAATAAGGAAAATTAGCCTTATATTAAATAAAGCTATAAAAGATAACTAATTAATTTATATATCTTATTTCTTAGCTTTAAGTTATATAATTTAAATTATAAAATAATATTATATTTTAAAATACTTAAGGTTATTATTTATCTATACTTATTATTAATATAAATAAAATAAACTTTTTTATTAAAATAATACTTTATATAATATACTTTTTAATTATTAAATATAAATTAATATAAAATAAAAAAAATAATTATATATAAAAAGTATAATAAAAAGTAACTATTTATATAAAAAGGTATTTTATAAAGAAAATAAAATAGTATATTTATATTTTTTTTTATTTTCTATAAAAAGTATATTAATATATTATTTAAATATATATTTTATAATATAAGTAATAATTTAATATAAAAATAGATAAATAATAGAATTACTATTTTTTTTAATAAGTAATTTAGAATACTTTTTATTTTAACTAATAAATAAGCTAGTATTTTTTAAATATAAAAAACTACTTTTTATTATATATTATTTTTATATTCTTTATTATCTATTTACTTTTTTTTAGTTACTTACTTTTTTATTTATTAAAAGTAATAATAATTCTTTATTATTTTCTAATTTTTTTTTTATTATTATTATTAATTATATTAAATTTTTAATAATAGTTTCTTTATATACTAGTTTTATAGCTATTAACTCCCCTTTCTTTACTATTATTAAGGCTTTTATCTTTATTATTATTAATAAAAAGTCTTTTAAAGAGGTAATTATATTCTTAAATACCTAAGAAAAGTCCTTTAAAGAGGTAAATATTAAAAAGCCCTCCTTAAAAGCCTCTATACTTTTTACTAAATAAGAAAAGCCTTTTATAAAAATATATAAGTTATATATTAACTTATATAAAAAAGTATAGGCTTATAATAATATTATATATCTTTCTTAATATAATTATTATTAGATTAATATAGCTATAGTTACTTTAACTAATAAGCTAAAGCCTTAAACTTTTATAAGCTTAATTTTACTATTAATAATATATATATTTACCTTTATTAAAGAGGTTAATAATAAAAATATTAATAATAATAATAATAATAATAATAATAAAGGTATTAATATAATTAAGTTAGTTAAGAAAGAGGTTAAGATTAAAAATAAAGATAAAAAAGATAAAGATAAAAAGAAAAAGAAAGAAAAGAAGAAGAAAAAAAAGGTACTTATTATACTATACTATCCTTATTATAATACTTTTACTATTCTTATTAAGATAATTCTTATAAGTTATATAACTTAATTATAATTAATACTTTTATTAATATATATTATAAATATTTACTTTTTAATTTAAGTTAACTAAAGCTAACTAATACTTTCTTAGTTTTAAATCTTTATAAAGTAGTTAATAAAAGTTAATCTTAAGTTTTACTAAGTAAACCTTTATTTAAAATATACTTAATTTATACTTTTTAATAAAGAAAATAGTATATATTATAACTTTATATTAATTAAGAAAATAGTATATTTATAAAAGTATAAAGATTATACTTATTATAATTATAAATATAAACTATACTTAACTATAATAATTCCTTTTATTTAGTATTTAATAATAATATATAAAGATAGCCTTAAGTTTATAAGTTATTTATTATTTACTTTTATTACCTTTTAGTAATATTTATTAATACTTTACTCTCTTTTTTAAGATAAGGTCTTATATTATATAGTATTATATACTATTTTTAAAATATTAAAAGAAAAAGATAGTATATTTAATACTATTATTACTAATATAATATTAAATAAAGAAACTCTCTTTAAGTAAAAGACCTAGGTTTTATATTACCTTAAGGTATTTATTAATAAAATTATATAATAAAGCTATTTAAAATTAATATATATATTATAATAATTAAATAGAATATTACTTATCCCTAGGTTCTTTAAAAGGTTAAAGATTAAATAATACCTTCTTACCTATATTATACTTTATATCTTATATTAGAATAATTATATTACTCTTTTTAATTATATTTAAAAGCTTTTTTAGATTAATAAGATATTTAAACTCTAAAAAAGCTTAGTAAAGAAGAGCTTTAGTAAGACTATCTATAAGTATTACTCTACTTAGAATAAAGGTAAATATAAAATACTTATATTTATATTCTTATTTTAACTATATATTATTAATATTAATATATTATAACTTAGTTAATATATACTTTTATTATTAATAATAATATATATTATTTAAATATTATTATATATTATCTTATATAGGAAAGCTACCTATCTTCTTATTATTATAAAAAGATAGTATATTATAAAAGCCTCTTTTATTAAACTAAATATACCTAATAATTTAGCCTTTATTATAAATAGTATAATAGTATTTTATTTTATAACTTTTTAAAATATAGAATTACTATATAAGAAGATTATTTAATCTTAAGATAACTTCTTAGTAATAAGGTTATTAGTATATAATATATTACTAATAATTTATAAAATAACTACTTCTTTATTTAGACTATAAATAAAGACTAAAGTCTTTATAGTATATAAATAATATATATAATACTTTATAACTAGAATATAATCTCTTAATAGGTTTATATAGAAGTAGGTAAAAAAGGATACTATATATATAATATTTAATTAGACTATAATTAATATATATAATATTAACCCTATTAACTCTTAAAAGTAGTAAATATCTACTTTATTTATAATACTAGTATATTAAATAAGCTTTCTAGATAATAATAGTATATACTACTTTCTAGGTTAATTATAAGTAAGTTTATATTTCTTAGCTATCTTTTTAATATATTATTTATAACTAAAGAATAATAGCTTTTATCTTTTATTATATATAATATAAATACTAAAGAACTACTTAAGATTTCTTTAATTATATATATTATATATTTATTTTATCTTTATTATAAAGAATAAAGCTTACTTTTTATACCTTTTATTATAAAAAAGAAGGATATTATTAATAAAAAATACTAAAAATATCTTCTTATCTTTAGAATAGTATAAATAAGGCTTCTTTTTATATTATAATAAATTATACTTTATAAAGGTATTAATAAATTCCTTAAGCTATAAATAAGGTAAATCCCTTAGGC